CCCCCCCCCATTCTCTCTGAGAAGCAATGGAAAAAATATCCTCATGTGAAGATTAACAATAATAATAAAGACACATTAAAAAATCCATGAGTTTATGATAGGAATAAAACTGTGGAGGTTGCTAGGACAGCAAACTTATTTTGAAAATTAGTAAACAAATGGAAAAAAATGTATTTATTTTGCCTTTTCTGTATAAACTATATCAAGGTAATAAAATAATTGCTGAAGGAAAATGCTAATAAATGTAGAAAGGAACAACAGAATTTTTTAAAATCACCATTCATAATTCCTAATAAATAATGGATGTAGACAATTATCAATGGTAGATAAATCCATTAAGTGAAAAGTTGACCAGGAACTTTAAAATAGGATCATGTAACAATACGTGAACCCACAGGTAAATCTTATTCTTAGCGCTTCTGTGAAAGTGGACCCACCAGACACTGTGTGCCTTGCAATGGGATTCGATAATACGTACACAACACCAACAATGAAGTGTTCTCGCCAAAAAGGAGTCGCCTCTGGGTGTACCTACCAGTTTACAGAAAGCAGCGGGGGGAGAGGAACAAGTTAAACAATACCACAAGGACGCGACCAGCAAAGTGCAGAAGGTGGGAAACTGTACAGGACAAATAACCTGTTTTTAAAATAAATGACTTGGGATAAAAGAGGAGGAAGAGGTGAGGGAGACTGTTGTAGACTAAAATGAACTTAAGAGATACATCAACAAATGTGGGCTTTGTTTGGATCCTGACTCAAACCACCAGATATTTTATCTGTTAAAGACACACACCTAAGTTTTTAAGGCTGCAATTATATGATTGCTAGGGTTTGCTTTCACACTGTCCCCCAAAAAGACAAAACCAGTGTGCAGTTTAAATAGGTTAATATGTTGAAGTTGACAATAGATGCTTGGATTATTTTTATATGTATTACATGTTGAACCCGTAATATTTTGGATATTTAAATATATTAAAATTTATTTTACCTGTTTCTTTTTGTTTTTTAGTGTGACTCCTAGGAAATTTAAAATTACATGAGGTTCTTATTTGAGGCTGACATGATATTTCTGTTGAACAATGCTGATCTAGAAGTTATGGAAGCCAGAAGTAGGAGGAAAACCAAACCACCAAAAAACTCTGTCTCAAAAAATAACATCCTTTTCTACAACCCAGAATTCGCCTCATTCAGACCAAGGTTTAGCCTAATTGATGAAAAAAGTGCTTGGTAAGCCAACTAATTATCAGTACAAATGAAATTAAGTGTATAAAGATAATTTGTTCCCAGACACCATGTACATATAGCAATTAAGTGGTGCAGATGAGTGCTTCTCATCCATTCCCAAGGCAGGCGCCCAGGGCCCTGCGATGGAAGGAAGACCACAGCCCCGGAGCGAGCCAGAGGAAGCATGCTGCAGAGCACCTACTGAGCTCTGAGGAGGGGACAGGCACGGGGAGCTGCCAAACTGGCCCTGGTATTACCCACACTTGAAAAGAAGGAGGAAGAAAGTGAGCCGGGAAAGTTGGTTCTTTTTCTAGATCTATGGTCTTCCTTGGAACTCCTCCTGGTCCAGATTTGCATGCATTTCCCACCCCCGTCTATCCCCACTCACACTGTCTGTGGGCAGTGAGGTACCTTTCTGGGTGTCGCCTCCCTCCTCCCTCAGTGGTCCTGCCATCCATCAAATCTTCCTTCCTCCTCCACCAGCCTCCACTGTGGAATGTGGTCAGGGTGGTTTCCATCACACAGGCCACCTCTCTGTTTCCCAAAGATAACACAGTGAGTGTGGGTGTTTGCTCGCTGGTGCTCTTATCTAAGATCAACACTGTAGCTCCTGCCTCCAGAGGCCTCCGGGGTCAGGAAAATGCAGAGGCTCAATGTCTCAGTAGGTGCCTGGTCACTATAGTTGGGGCTTGGAGTGGGGTTTTTTCCCTTTTGGTGGGGGGAGAGGGTGACTGAATAAGCTGCAAGTCTTCTCTAAGGGCTCAGACTTCTCTCCACCCTTGTCCACCTTCAGCCCTCTGGCCCCACAGCCAAGAAATCTAAGCTCAAGTGGCTGACAGGGTAAAGGGCTCCCGGTGACATGCTTACTCCAGCCCCCACTGCAGCTGGTGATGTTTTTCAGCAGAAGGTACTGCTGAAGTCCCCCACTTTCTACTGAAGGGCTGTCCAGCCCCTCCTGTGCCTCCACTGTCTCTAGAGTCTCGACACGGGTCCAGTGCCCCTTGAAATAGATCTTCAAGTCAGGTGGCATCTGATGATCAGCTGCTCTACTGCCTCAAGATCCTCCAACTGGTTCCCTGCCCCAGTCCCACCCTGCTCTTAGAAATCTAGTGACAGTAACATCGTTCTATCCAGGGAGGAAGGGGGTTTCAGAAAGGAGAGTAAACCAAGGTCACAGAGCAACAAAGACAGCCTGGACCCCCCAGCCACTCCCCTCCCTACCACCTAAACCAGGGCCAGGCGCATTTGGGGACAGCTGGAGCAGATGGCCACCCCAAGCCAACCCAACAATCTCTCAGGGCATTTGACCTCCATTGTTGATTTCTACCCAGAGGACCCAAGGAATGTAAATCAGCCCCTGGAAAGTAGGCTGCCCTGAGATGAGGCTGCTGGTTTAAAACAAACACAAGGTTTATTATATAAGGACCAGACAGCCACCAGGCACCACCTCTGCCAGGAATCCCAGGTAGGCACTCTCTCATTCTTTGACTGTGGGTTTGCTTCTGGGTTTAATTTACTGGCCATTCACAGGCCCATCTGAACAAAGGGGAGGTTGCACAATCTGGAGCAGCCAGCTGCTCAGACATAACTGGGCTTAGGAGCTGCCCCAATCCCCCCATGTCTCCTGGGGACCTTGCTGGTTCAGCTTTATCATCCCTGTTAAGAAACCTGGTACAAGCTCCTTGGGGGCTGGAAAAAACATGTAGGGTTCTGCCCTGAATGAACAGTCTTGGAAGAGAGCACACATATCCTTCAATTCGCTCGTACCATGGGGAGGCAGGCAGAGCTGCTACCCTGTCCGCTAGGCTCCTACCTGAGTTCTGAGGCCTGGGGAGAGGAAGGGAGAGGAAGGGCAGGGGACGGAAAGAGAGGAAAGGACATGCTAACTGGAGACCCTCTCTCCTCTAGGCCCATCTGTCTCAACCCAACCAAGGCCATGCCCTCCCCAGGGACCATCTGCTGCCTGCTGCTCCTCAGTGTGCTCTGGGTGGACTTGGCCATGGCAGGCTCCAGCTTCCTGAGCCCCGAACACCAGAAAGTGCAGGTGAGATGTCACCCCACAAAGCCCCACTTTCTGAATGGGGCATCTCATTCCAGCGCTGCCACATAGCATCTGTGTGACCTGGGCAGTGGTTCAACCTCTCTGGGCTTCAGCCTTCTCATAGAGCACAAAGGAGGAACCCACGTCTCTTTCTGCTTCTGAAAGGATATGGGGATTAGGGCCCTAAAGAAAACACTTCCTCTTTCCAGCAGAGAAAGGAGTCCAAGAAGCCACCAGCCAAGCTGCAGCCCCAGCCCCGGGAGCTCAAAGGCTGGCTCCGCCCAGAAGATGGAAATCAGGCAGAAGGGGCAGAGGATGAGCTGGAAATTCGGGTTGGTTCCTCTGTAGTTCTATGCTTTTGTGGCTGGGGAGGGGGTGAGGGAAGGGGAAGGCAGCGGGAGATGGCATGAACAGGGGCCCACTTACCAGCTACTCAAGAAATATAAAATTGCATGAAAATAGCTGACTCTGCACTGGGCTCTATGAGGTTTTTGCCCATGAAGAGATGGGCAACGTCTAAGAGATGTAACTTTGCTACCACAGAATAGGAATTGACAAGGAGCCATGAGCAGAGGAGAGAAGGGGGCACTAGTAGGCGCCAGATGATTTCAAAGGGTGCAGCAAATAGGGTGTCCAGAGAAAGACACTCAGGAAGACATAGCTGGTCATAGACGGTATTTCCCTGCAGAAAATGTTCTGGTGGGTTCAGGGGCCTCTCAGACCTTACCTGGGGCTGGAGTGCACCCACACTGCACCCTGGACGGCCAGCTACTGCAAGCCGGGCTCTGGTGGGCAGCTCTCACTGAAGTCCATCTGTGATGAGGACAGGCCAGTCAGGCTCATCCCAGCTCTGACAAATCTTACATGGGACAAGGAAACAGTTTAGAAATAAATGGAGGACTAGGAGAAAGAGAAAGAGAGAGGGCGCAAAGGGGTTTTATAGGGTTATCTAGGTAACCTTCCTGAAAGGCTGGCTGTGTGTAGTTCACGGACCATTCTGAAAACATTTAGGTGGTGACAGACACCTCCATGCAGAGAAACCAGAATTTCCCTGGGTGGAACTTAATAATGGCAGTTACTGAGCTGCTGAGAGCTGATATTACTGTGCCCATTGCATAGATGAGGAACAGAAGTTCAGACAAGGAACTCACTTGCCTAAGGTGCCACAGCCAGAGTATGGCAAAGGTGGAACTGAAGGTCAGGGCCAAGGCCAGTCCCCAAGACTTCTCCTAACCGGTCTGGCACCGTGAACAGTGCCTCTCACTCCCTCTTCTGGCCTGATAAGCCCAAGTGTGTCCCATTTTGGCCTTTCTCTAACTACCCACCAGCCTCTTCTCCCATCAGGGATGAACCCCCACCCACGCTCTCTCTGACCCTCAGCAAAACCTAGGGGTGTTCTCAGGCACTTCCTCCACACTACCTGTGAGACTCTCAGCCTACCACATCCCCACTCGATGGTCTGCAAACCCTTAAGCTAAAACCAGGGAACTTTCCTAGTGAGATTGTCAGCTCCCACAGGCGGAATAGCTCTAAATTAGCCCGGATGGGGAAGAGGTTTCAGTGGCTGATGACTCACAGCAGGGCTGGGACAACTGGAAGTTTCCAGATTCCATGAAGGCTGGCCCCAGAAGAAATGGCCCGCACTGCCTCAACTAGAACCAGGAGGCTGAAATGTCTAGGAGGCAGGTGGAGAAGAAGGCTGGCAACACTAGCAGCAGAGCTCTGGATGTGCTCCCCAAGCCCCTCCCACTTTAGGGTTCCATCTCTCTCATCCCAGTTTTCCTCCTAAAATCGAGTTTCAGAGCTAGAAGACTTTTCAACCCCAGTCCTACCCACCTCCCACTGAACAGATCAGACACCGAGGCAAAGGGAGCCTTGTCAGGTCACCTGAAGCTGATCAACCAACAGTCGCTACCCTGCCTCTCAATTGCCCCTACTGCCCAGTTCCAGCCAGCAGGTCCCTAGATCGGTGCTCAATGGTTCCTAAGAAGTCTGACCGCCCCACATTAGCTACAGGAGTGGAAGAAAAAAGAATATTTACTGAAGGGAGGTTAAAAAAACAATCATTCCATTCCACTTTCTCCATCCACTCCACCTTCACAGTGGAGACAAATGGGAATGTTTTAAAGGAACAAACAGCTATTTCTTGTTTTAATAACTTCTTTAAGCATGTTTGCTCATCTGTAAAATAGGAATAATAGTGGTACCTGCCTGGTGGGTAGGTACGGAGGACTCAACAGGACAGCCTCACACAGGGTAGGGTGTCACACTGGCGACTGCTGCATCCCTGGGAATAGAAGAGGTTCTGGGGCTGGTGGGACTTAATCCTGCAGTCTAATCCTTGGCCACCAACTCCTCTGAGGCCTCAGACAAGTCCTTTAACCTCTCTGGGCCTCAGCTGCTTTATCTGAAAATGGGGATAACACCTCCTGTCCAGAGGGTGGCAGGCAGAACCAATGATCGAGGGTCCATCCAGCACCAAGATTTCCTCTACTGACTCATGGAGATGTTTAGTCATCTCAGTGACCAACACGGCCAAGGACTGAGGCAGCTACTAGATGAACAGAGATAAAGATACAGGCTCTGCTCTCAAGGGAGAAAACGATGAAGTGGCCGCAGACAGAGCTCTTTCCCATTTCCCCAAAGCTTCTGGCACCAATAAATCACCTTGTAGAATGCAGGAAGGAGTAGGGAAAACGGGGCGCTCTCCCTGTGGAAGGAAAGAAATGGCAGCAGAGAGAGAGGGCTTAGCTCAGAGCATCTTTCTAGGAAAAGGTCCGCTTCCTGTCTGACTTCACACAAGAGCATGAGAGGAAGAATAGCTGGGAAGGGAGAGGTGGGGGCAGCGGAGGGGGCAGAGCCCATCACCTAGGCTAGTGCTATGTATCCCAGGTAGGCCCACTTCCCCCCAAATCTCCCTGCCAGGGCCTGAGATCCCACCACTGGTGATTCAACCTCAAGTCTTCTAAAACTGCAGGGGGGGCAGGGAAGCGGGCCTGACCTAGGGGACACCACGGCTTTTATCAGAAACCTCCTTAGAGATCAAGGAAGAGAGAGCAAGGTAAGTCTCCTGAAGATGGAGGGAGCAGTAAGAATGGGCCTACGGAGGCTGAGTAACTGAGCTGTCCCTCAGTGGTCTCTGCTGGGCCCACAGGCTCTTTTCCCTCCCTGCCCCTGTGATGAGACCCTGAGAGCCCAGGACCTCCTGTGGGACAAGTGTTTCGGGCAGGGGTTGGAAGGTGTAACCTCCGACACTTCCTGGGTTCTCCCTGCTCTCCTCCTAGTTCAACACCCCCTTTGATGTTGGAATCAAGCTGTCAGGGGCTCAGTCCCACCGGCATGGCCAAGCCCTGGGGAAGTTTCTTCAGGACATGTTTTGGGAAGAGGCCAATGGTAAGTCCCTCCCTAAATCAGGTCAATTCAGTTTCCTCAGAGTCCCAAATGTCAGTCCACATTATGGGTGACACAAAAGTTTTCTTCCCTGTCCCCTGCCTCTCAAAAAGAGCATCTAATTCCTGGATCCCAAATATCAGCAGAAGAGTGGGTTGGGCTGGTATTTGAGTGGCTCAGAGGGGACTGAGCATAGTTTTTGTATTCAAAGAGGGTACTAGGTCCTGAGGACTAGCTTTGGATCCCCAGTGAACCCCAATTTCCTTAACCAAAAAATGGAGCTAACACCCATATGAGTATAAAATTATTTGGTGTTATAGCACCTTTACTGTATAATTTTACTTCACAAACAAATGGAATTAGTGCTATAATTGCATTCAGAATGGGCTCTGCAGCCAGTTAAAAGCAAAGTTGTTTTGGTTTTTATTTGAATCCCTCTTGCCTTGTAAAAAGATACCACCCAACTTTCTCCTAATAGAGAAGGCAAACACCTGCCTTTGGAAGCACCCTACAACCTGCAGAGCACTTCCCTCACGAACAAGGCATCGCCCACCCCACACCCACCCTTCCGTGCAAATAAGGAGACCAGGACTCAGAGCTTTTAGGTGACTTGGCCAAGTCACAGCCCAGTGCTTCCCCATTACAACATACCACCCCAATAGTCGCCATTGTGGAAAAAACCTTCTTTGATGGTGCTGGCCAGATAGCAGATGCAGAATTTTGACTCTGCCTCTTGCTTTTCAGAGGCCCCAGAGGACAAATGACCATCCACAAGACCAGCCCACCTCTGTTTTCCTACTACCCTTAGAAGTGCTCACCATGGCTTTTAGGTTGCTTCTACAACTCCCAGCTGAGTGGTACTAGCTTAAGAGCTGAATAAATATTCAAACTGTGTGCTAAATGTTCGAAATGAGAATTATTTCACCAGAGGAAAATTTCACTGGAAAAAAAAAAGAATTCTTGGTCTATGGTCAATGGAAAGAAAAACAAGTATGTAGCAAGGCAGGTGTGCATGCTTAGAAAACCAAACTAGACCAACTCATATAAGCAGACAAAGGGGGATGGGTGGCGGAAGGGGGGTAGAGGAGAGGACAGAAGGAGGAGAGAAAGACAGAGAAAGGGAAGGAAAGGGAGAAGAGCACGGGCAAGGGACAGAGAAAAGGAAAGGCACAGTTCCTTAAGATATCACAGTGCAAAATTACAGTGAGAGCTTATTATCAACAAGGACCGTACAGACAAAGAAACTGCAGGTGACATTATCAAAGCTAACATCCACTAAGCACATTCAAGATTAGAACAGGATTCTGGGAATGCCAAAACATGAGTCTAAAGTTATACTTAAATGGGTGCTAACAATGGCTATGAGCCACTGCAGGGAAGGGCTTCCTCCTTGAGAAGCTGGGCAAAGTAGATAGCATCTCATATGGGCAAGGCAAGCCACTGCCTTCATTACTTCACTGATACTAGGTAGTTGTCCCAAAACATTTCCAGCTCACAGCTGAACTGAACCTTAATCCTTGAGTTCCACAATTCCAGTGAAGACACAAGCCTTCCTAGGAGGAAATGTCACTTATCCGTCATTTACACTTTAGCATAAACATGCAAATTAATTTCTGAAAGCTGGTGATGGATGGGTGGATCATTAAGAGGGAAAAGCAAACAAGGCAGGTTCCAAGGGGAAGCACTGCCAACCTGCCTGGTCAGACACACGAACCCCTACTAGAGATATGTAGGACACCCCTCTGCAGAGTTGGGTAACACCCACACTCTGGAAAAGCCTCTATCACAGAAAGCTGTAGGAGTCAAGTATCTTCTCAAGCAAAATTCTGGCCACCTGGCACTCAAGGCAAAGCCCTATAGGCACTAACCTCTGGTAGACTTAGTAGGCACACAAAACCCAACTGCCATCCCTCACTAAGGAATTGCATGTAGTCTGCGGAACTTCACCATCATTTGGGAATTTTTTAGAAATGCAGAATCAGAATCTCATGCCCCATCCCTACCCTACTATTATCAGGATCTGCACTATAACAAGATCCCCAGGTTATTAAATGGCTTATATAAAGTGGCTTAGAAGCAACTGGATCCTATTCAGGCAGCACAGCACACTGCACAGCCAAATGGCCCCACCTGGCATAGAATAGGTGTTGAATGTCACATAATGGCCAGGTGGGACCCTCAACAGGACTGAGGACACATGAAAAGGGTGTCCTGTTTCTTCTCTCACCTTCTTCCCATCGCTTTAGTCCCAGCTCTGTTGCTGACTCCATGTCCATCTGCTGGGCAGACGGCAAACACACACACACACACACAATGACATCTCTCAGATAACTAGACACCTGATTATATGACTACACAGTGAGTTCATTCACTGAATCCTTGCTTCCAAAAACATCTCCCTCTAAGCCTCAGTAATGATCACAGATCAAAACATGTTATCACCATTAAAGGAATTTAAGGTATCAGAGAGCAGGTGAACTAAGTGCCTACTAAGTCTACCAGAGGTGAACTAAGGAAGAAAGGAAATAGAAGTGGAGGGAAATGGCCTTCCACAGCGCCCACAAGCCAACCCCCTAGAACTGAGGCCTAGACTGACACTGTCTTGGAGCTGTGACACATCCCAGCTCTATTGTTTAGTAGTACAACCCTGATCACCACTTACCACATCCACAGCCCTCTTCTTCACAGCTAGAGAGGAGGATAGAAGGCCCAAGCGTGATTAAAATGGCCCAGGAAACCAGCCGCTGACCTGGTGAAGCAGCAGCATGGATTGGGCTGGGGGTGGGCGCTCGGAGAGGATGAGTGCCAGGCCCTGACAAGAACTGTTACCTAAAGCCCGCCCCCGCAAAAAGAACAAAGGCTTCTCTCTCAAAGGACTCACAAGCATTCCCTGCCACTTTCCTGTCATTCATTCAAAAGAACATGTTAAGCACCCACTCTGGACAGAGCTCTCTCACCTGGGGCAGGCAGCATGATGTTGTGGAGAGCTATGGACTACAGACTCAGACCCAAATTTGAATACCAGCTCTATGATCCAGACCAAAACATTTAATTTCTCAGTTTTCTCAAATTAAAACACCTACCTCCCTGGATTACTATGGAGGGAACACAGTAGCTCCCTTGAGGACATCTGGCACACAGTAGGCATTCAACTATTCTAACAACTACCACTTACTGCATTCCTGCTGTGCATCAGGCATTGTTCTAAATACTTATATGTAATTAATGTAACTTCAGTTAATTTTCACAATAAGCCACTTAGGAGGGAGGAAACTGAAGAAATTAACTTCCTAAGGTCATTCAGCAAATACACTGCCCATTCATACCAAGAGCTATAGTGCTTGAGTCCATGCTTTCATACTTTACTACCCCTCAATGTTACTTTCTTGCCCTACTGCCTAGAGTCCAAGGGATTTCTTTTGTTTTTTATTTTCCTTTGTAATACACTGGGTCGATGTCAAGTTGAACTTTAACAACTGGGAAAAATAAAACATCAAAGGAAACAAGGGACACACTTGAAGAAATTTAGCATTTCAAACACATTCCTATGTCAGCCTTCTTAAACCTATTCCTCCAGCATTATTTAATGATACCACTAACTTAAGGTTCTCAAAATGGGGTATATTTACCCCTGGGGTGAGCAAGAAATTTGAAGGAAAAAAGTTCTCCTTATAGCCCTAGTCGGTTTTGCTCAGTGGTTAGAGTGTCGGCCTGTGGACTGAAGGGTCCCAGGTTCGATTGTGACCAAGGGCACGTACCTTGGTTGCAGGCTTAACCCGGCAACCAATCGATGTGTCTCTTTCACATCAATGTTTCTCTCTCTCTCTGGAAAGCGATGGAAAAAAATATCCTCAGGTAAGGATTTAAAAATATTCTCCTTATAAAAAGCTTATTTTGTTTTAGCACATACCTAATACATCACTATACTAGCACATGTATTTAATGCATCATACACTTACAGGTGTGTGCTCCAAAGTTCCCTAATGGCAACATGCAAACAGAAGAATGGGGGACCCACGCTTGGCCACCTTCCTTAATCTGAATCCACTTCCAAACACCACTGACAAATGAGCATTGACAGGGATCACAAGGGCTGGCTGGCCACTGATCAGTTCTGCTGCCATCTCTGTTTGACCAAGTTTGTTCAATCACTGAATATTTCAGTGGCGATTTGCCCTTATTTTATAAAAGTGAGTGGCGCAAAATGAAGGTCCTGACAGCAAATGATTAGTATTGGTCCCAAACTTAATCCAGAGAGAAAGATGTAAACGCCAGAAATGCCAAGAGTAACAGATTTTGAGCCACAGACAGACTGTCACTGAGTGGACACAGTCAACTGTGTGTTCGATTGAAAAGGAACTGAGCCAAAGGAAAGGAGTATGCTGAAAATGCATAGTCAATGACTGTGTCTCAAAGATGAGGCATTAACAGAGATTTTGAATGTTTGGCATTCTCGGAGCAGAGCCTTCCTTTTTCCAAGTTTACTTTTGGCTTGTGCATTTGTGTTCAACAATACCTTAGTACAAAATTAGAGGATTGACTGCAAGCAGTAAAACAGAATTTCCTCCATTTTACCCAGGGGCATCAGAGGAGTTCACAGTCGAAAGCCCACAGTACAACTGATTCATCAACACCACACCGGCATACTCCATATTTCTTCCTACTTCACTGCTCTGGGGGGAAAAAAAAGATGGTATCTGCATAGTTTTCAAAGGCTAAGCAGCAGCAGTACATCTGAGCTCCCAAAGTGTAAAATGAAAGTTAGTGCTCAAAGACATCAAAACTTTAAAGAAAGTACCATGTCTTATCTCGTGTAGTTTTGCAAAGAGGTTCATGTATACTCAAGAATGTCTTCAGACCGTTGGGTTCACAGGTTATGAAGTCAGCCAACAACTGAACCACCGTTCTTATTCTGAGAACTCTAAACAAACGTGGAGAGCATGGGAGTTGGCTGAGAATCCATCCCTTTATTTTTAGAACTGATGGTCAGGGGTAGGGGTAATACAGAGGCATTCCAGCAGCACAGCAAAAATAATCAAGTCAGCCATCCAAAATCAAAAACATTGCCAACCAGCTTTCACGCCCACAGCACAGAAATGATAATTCTAAATCCTGGAGATAAAAGTATATAGCACCTTATGCTTTACCTTGGCAGGAAGACTGCATAGGCTGAGATATCCATTTAGTCATCACTTTTAACCCTCTAAAGCAGGACTAGTTGGTTTCCCATGTAGGCAGTATTGACATATAGGGCTTATGAAGGACATGGATATGCTGCAGTTCATCTGGGTGACAATGAAGCACTCTGAAATATTTAGCAGTTCCCCAAACATTCCAAACAGGAGAACAAGCCCCCTATTCCCCACATTGGCAAACATGAGGCACACACAACACACAGCTAATCCATGGAAGGTCAACAGGGAATCAAGGCCCACTTCTCAGGCCAGCAACTTGTATACAGAGGCAAAACAAAAATACCATATAGGAAAAATGTTAAGTCCATTTCCTTTTAACTTACAAGGCTCAAAATGACCCAGAGAAATCCAGCATTAAGTAATGGATTTTACAATTTCAGCTACTGGCTTTCAAAAAACACACAAGGAATCTGGTGGCCTATCTCACTGCAGATTGGGGTAAAGGATCCTTTTTGGACAAAGTGCAGTGCCCTCACATTTTCCCCTTGACCATTATAACCTTCCAGGGCCTGTAATGAATATACCTTTACAAGGCACCAACAGGGAGCAGAACACAGCTCAAAACCTGAGATGACCCAGCTGCTCAAAAGTCAAAGGAGAGGCTCTCACTTCCAACACAGAGAAAGGGCATAGAGGAAGCAGAGGCAGAGGCAAAGGAGACCGCCAGGAGGGGGACTGAGAGATTTATACACACCAGGCCTGCTTGTTCTGCAAAGGCAATAGAACATGACTGAGTGACCCCAGCAGAGCTTTGGAGAATTAAACTGATTTACCTCTCAACCTGAAAGGGGCACACAAGAGGCTGTCATATACAATGAAACAGAATGAGTATTTCTGGTCCACTGTTCCAGGGAAAAAGGGCAAAAATGTTAACAGAGTGTGGCTGGGACCTTGACAGTAGACTAGCAGGTAGCTTCTGCTACAAACTGGATCCTCCATCAGTTTAACGCAGCCGAGTTGCAGCCCTGGGGGCATCAGTACGTAGAAACACTTTCTTTAGGGTCCTTTTCCTCAAGAAGGCCTCTTCCTTGAGTTCCCCAATCTGTTAAGATCTCCATCAGCCAGGACTCTCCCTGGACAATGAGTGCCCTTCTGCCCACTCTGTACAGATGGCAATGGAACCAGTGAAACCAGCAGTCGAGGTCCTTCCATCTGTGCCAATGCAGAGTTGACACAGCAACAGCGACAGCTAAACTGAAGTTATCCAGGGAAGGGAGGGAAATAACTTCACAGATCTCCAGCAAAGATCCCCACAGGAGATTTCCCACTGAAAGTTCATTCTTAGAACTGAGGACCAGGAACCAAGTTACACAGTGACATGGGCTTAGACGCGTAGGAGGGTGACTTTATTCACAGACTGCTCAAAAAAACACAGGCTGCAGAAAACAGGGATTTGGATTGGCAAACTTATTTCACCTTTCTACCAGCCTTTCTTCTTCCCTGACTGCTGTGGAGCATGTGGCTGGGAGGCAAACCCCCACCCGCCCACCAGCCAGGAGCAAAAGCCTTATGACAACGTTTCAAGGAAAACATCCTATTTCCTGTCCTGGTTTTTCTCCATTCCAATGGGCTCTCCAAACACACCCTTGTCCTGGGACCCAGGCAGAGATGAAACCCAGCCTATGTTCTGTTATGTCACTGGTCATGTCGTCCTGGAGGGTAGGAAAGAGAAAAGGAAAAAGGTTTCAAACCAAGTTTGCTCAAGAAAAATCAGACTTAATGCTCACCCTATGCTTATATTCTCTACATTAATAAAATGTAGAAAAGCAGCTTTTGACTTGATTTTTAAAAAATATATATGTAAATTTTTACCTTTTATAGAAGGCTCCTGCACCCTCTCTGCTTAAAGATTGTAGAGGCGACTGGTGTTCTCACGCAAGGTAGCCAAGGTGCGGGAGAGTGGCTGATCTTTGACCCTGGCAATCTCTCGAACTGTATGCAAGGCCAGGCCCGGGTGGGCATATTGGCAAAGGTTTTTGGGAACCTGGAAGATATCAAGCATTCAGAACATTGTTGTGCCTTCTGTGCACAGTCATTACACAGAATTCCCTCCCCGGCCCTTCCCCAGTAAGGACCTCTTTGGGGCTGCCCTGTAGAGACCCCTTTACCTGCAGGTGCAGGGAGAGTCCTAGTCATGGGGGGCTCTGGGTGAGCAGGGTCCCACGCTTCCTTGGACTACCCTCTACAGGGTAGGGCTTTGCACTGCCTGGAAGAGAGTGGTTACCCTTCAGCTTCTCAGCCCCCTAGACTTTTGGTTCTACAGAGCAATACAAGGAGACATCTATACAGCAAAGGGTGGGACCTGGAAGTCACTGGGGCTCTAGCCCTGCCAACCTTGTAAGGGTGTGACCACCCACCTCCCCACCCTCTTCCCCAGTGCCTCAACTCAGCCTGAAGACACTCCTACCTGTCGAGGCAGGAAGTAGGGGGCATCAGTTTCCACGATGATTCTCTCCAGCGGAATCTGTCTCGCAGCTTCCCGGGCCTCCCAGGCAGAGGAGTATGTCAGGACTGCCGTGAAACCCACAGACATGTTGGGAAAGTGCTTCAACAGGGGCTCGATGACCGGGTAGCTGCCAGTGAAGCAATGCCTGAGAGGAAAAGCCCAGATGAGCGCTCTCACAATCCCCTCTGCAGCAGCCCCCAACTCCCTCCAGACATATAGCCCTTTTAAACTATTTTCTGTGGATAAATTTCCAGAAATGGAAAGACTGCATCCAAAGGAAGGACTCCACAGTAAACACAGACAAGTGCTGGCTCTACTACATTAAGACCCAAGAGGACTCTTGGTGAGCAATGCTCACCCATCAACCTATTACACCACAGAATACTATACAGCCACTCGAAATAATCACCAAGAAGAACATATAGCAACAATACATGGACAGGGTATGCTTATGACACAGAAAGAGAAGCAGAATTTAAAACTGTGGCCCCTGTAAAATTATAACTACAGTAGATAAAAATTATGTCCATGTAGACAAATGAACTCAAAGGAAACAAAAAATAAAAATATAAGGGAGTGAGGCTATGGGTGAATTTTCCTTCTCTTAATTTGATGGTTGTTCACGTTCTTAATATAATATATATATTGTTAACCAATCTGGAAATTCAGGGCTTCCGTCAGAGGCTTCACTCTCTGCTTGGGCACCTGAAAGGCAGCAGCCTAGAGGCCTGACAGGCCCACCCACTTCTGCCACTTGTCAAGACCAAGACTCCCTGTTTATGCAGTTAATCCATCTCACACATCTTGAAAGAGCCAGCCCAGGCATCACCTCCTGATCCCTTTCCAGCCAGGCTTAGCTAATGGCCCCTCCTCTGGCTCTCACAGCACCATATGCCCACCTCAGCCCCATGCTCTCTACAGAAGTCGCCAACTGACTCATCTGTCTCCCACAGCTGAGCCAACACCCAGGACACGTACAGGGAAAGAGATCACAGAGTTTGTCAAAGTGAACTTAAAATATCATTCAGACAAAGCACATCCTGTACTTTATTGAGCTTTCAAATTTGAAAAGGAAAGAAAATGTCTTTTCAGGCGCCCTGGAATCTTCTCTGCGTGCTAAGTCACTGGACTCCACAGAAACCTCTCCTGAAATCAACAGTCCTCATTTCTGAGAACTGAAACTCCATTCTAGCCTGCACCCAGGACAGAGGACATGAAAGCCCCCTTCTTGCTTATTGGTCATTTAGGGTAGTAGTTCAAACCATATGAAGTTGCAGTTTTGTTAGTAAAAAATGGTCAAATATCAGAAATTTCATATGGTTCAACCTAACACTTAATCTTTAGTAAAGAAACTACATAAAGGCATATCATCCATGCTCTCCTACTGAGTTTTGGTTTTTCCAACTAACATCCTAGACAGAGGAAGTATTCATTTCATTTGCCCACTGAAGCTCCCGCCTAACCTATGGATCTTGTAGTCCGAGGGCACAAATTTTTTCATGATGCGCAGTAGATCTTCGTCAGCTTCTCGGCAGTGAATCACCAAGGGCTTCTTTAAAGACACGGCCAACTGCAGCTGTCTCTCAAATACCTGGGAGAAGACAACGTGAGAACATGCGTAGGTTAGGGCCACTTCAGACGCCTGTTACCGCCAGAGCACCCAGGGTCCAATGGGCAGCCCTACTGTCTCTAACTCTGTATTTTTAAACTATACTGTATAATGTACAGTAATAAATAAGACTTACTGGGTCTTCCTGAAGAGCCAGGGAGTGCTCAAAGCACTTTAGGTACGTTATGACACGTAACCCTCACAAGCACCCTGAGGTAGGTACTGCTCTTAGCCCATCATGCAGTTGAAGAAACTGAGGCTCTAAGTCAGGTCAAGTAACTTGCAGCTGAGAAGCTGTAGTGTCACCCTTCAAATGTGAACCCAGGTAGTCCACACAGCAACCGCTAGCATGCTTATCTGGGGTTGCAGGAGCAGAGTGGGGCTAACAGAAAGTACAAGCTAAATGTCCTTCCCCTCATTGTCCCCACCTCTACTCCCAAGAGGTGATCATTTTTCATACCTTTTCCTACATACATACATACATACACACACACACCAACACACAATCAATGCCTGGCTTTCAGATAAATACTATACATTTTTTTTTTTTCCAATTTTAGAGAGGGAGGAAGGGAGAGAGAGAGAAAAAGAAACATGAAGCCCGGCGAGGCATGGCTCAGCTGCTGAACATCGACCTAGGATCCAGGAGATCGCGGTTCGATTCCCAGTCAGGCCACATGCCCGGGTTGTGGGCTTGATCCCCATTTGGGGACATGCAAGAGGCAGCTGATCAATGACAACTCTCTCATCTTCGATGTTTCTATCTCTCTCTCCTTTCCTTTCTCTAAAATCAATAAAAGATATATTTTAAAAAAAAAGAAACATCAATGCAAGAGAGATACATCAACTGGTTGCCTCCCGAATGTGCCCCGACCAGGGATCAAACCCACAACCTAGGTATGTGCCCTGACCAGGAATTGAACCCATGACCTTCCGGTACACAGGATGATACTCAAACCAACTGAGCCACACTGGCCAGGGCAATACATATTTACTCAACCAAAATCAGATATTCTTCCAGGTAAATACCTACAGATATGTTAAATATTTTTTTAAAAACTAGCCATTTTTAAACCTTCATTAGTAAAATGCACATATTGTTAATGTTTAAATGAAAAAAGTTGGGCTAGAACTTATTTTTTCCTCAACAAGTTCAGGTTTAGAACAAAGAACAAAAGTATTAATTCATTATAAATAAATTACCTCATCTTAATGTTTCCATAAGTAGTTTTCTTAATTGTGGAATATAATTCATTTTGCATTTACATAAAATAATATGATGCTTTAGGTAATTTGAATCAGGTGATATTCACTTGAGAATGTCATTTTCCAGTCTAACACTTGTACTCCTCTTCTCATAATAGAAGCACTGAGCCAATACAATTCTGATGTAACTCTTGTTTAACCTGTGTTTTCAACTAAAGGAAAATGCATCAACCCAGGAACCAGGAGGTCACAGTTCAATTCCCGGTCAGGGCACATGCCTGGGTTCCTGGCTCAATCCCCAGTAGGGGGTGTGCAGGAGGCAGCTGATCCATGATTCTCATCATTGATGTTTGTATCTCTCTCTTCCTTTCCCTTCCTCTCTCTGAAACCAATAAAAAAGTATAAAATAAAATAAAATAAAATAAAATAGGAACTCTGCTGAGGCAAGAGGTTATTTGAATGTACAAGACAAACCTAACTCTGAATTGAAACACTATATTAGAAACCCATTCAAGTCAAAAACTGAAAACATTCACACACACAAAATCTCACCCAGCTCTGGCTAGTGGAGCACTGTCTGGTACACCAAAAGGTGGTGCGTCTGATTCCCGATCAGGGCACATACCCAGGTTGTGGGTTCAATCCCCAATAGGAGGCAACTGATCAATGACCCTCAAGTCAAAATCATCCTGTTTGGAATTTAGTAAACTTAACAGGTCCTAGCAAATTCACCTAAAAGAAAATCCTTTGGAAACATCTGAACATCCTAAGTTATTTCTTTTTTTTTTTTAATCGTCACCTGAGGATATTTTTTCCATTGCTTTTCAGAGAAAGTGGAAAGGAGAGATAGAGAGAAACATCAATGTAAGAGTGACACATCGATTAGGAAAGCTGGTATCAAATTCTGCCCAGGCTGGAACCCACACATGCTCACCAAAGCCTGAGCATAATGGGCATGCAGACCCAGGCCTAACAGGCATTAACAAGAAGACAGCACCCAACAAATTCAAACTGGCAATGCGCACAGTGATGAAGTAGGAGGGTCTTTCTCCTTGTCCCGCTCCTTCCTAAATCAGAAACTTCCATTGAAATGCTGTAACTACTTCTACCCTGCCAAATCTCCATGGTGAAAAGATACTGGGAGTGAAAATACTAAGATGGTAATTGGTTATCTCTAGTGGAATGGGAAAGTATCACCTTTATACATTTTTGTGTTTTCCAAATATTCTACAGTGTGCATATTTAACTTTAAAATCAGAATAAAAATAAATTAAACAAACAAAATTTGTTGCTTCCCAAGAAGGAAAACAAATGTTTTGACACGTAACACTAGCCATAAGTAGTCATAAAGTACCTAACTCCTCCTCCCCCTCTGACATAATAAAGCTGAAAGAAATAGCTTGTGAAGAATTTGAGAAATGACATCTTGATGGTCTGGATAAGAGCAATTAAATATTAAGGAGTTCTAAATTCTTTAGTTCTAAAAGCGGAGAACCCCCCCCTCCCCAAAAATGGAAAAACCCCATTGTTAGATTTCAACAACTAAAAGAGGAATTAAAACTGTAAGCAAGTCGCCCTGGCCAGGTTGCTCAGTTGGTTGGGCACTGTCCCATACACCAAAAGGTTTTAGGTTCAATTCTTAGTCAGGGTACATACCTAGGCTGTGGGTTCAATTCCCTGTTGGGGCATATATGGGAGGCAACCAATTGATGTTTTCCTCTCACATCGACGTTTCTCTTTCTCTCTCTCTCTCCCTTCCTCTCTCTAAAAACCAATAAAATATATCCTCATGTGAGGATTTTTAAAGGTAAGTAAATAAAAACTGTAAGCAAGTGGGCCACCATCATAGCAACATAGTATCTGGACCAGGAAGTTCATGACCAACAGACTACTTTAGGGGAAACAAATGGTCACTGACGTCCTGCACCCTGGGAAGGCAACAGTACCTAAGACAGAAATTCGGGGAAAACTAGCCAAAATATATAAGACCACACCAGATGTCATCTTTGTATTTGGATTCAGAACCCATTCTGGTGGTGGCAAAACAAGTGGCTTTGGCATGATTTATGATTCCTTAGATTACGCAAAGAAAAATGAACCCAAACAGAGACTGGCAAGACGTAGCCATATAAGAAAAACTCCCGAACAGAGGAAAGTCAGAGGGACTGCAAAGGCTTATAGTGATGCTGGCAAAGAGGAGGAGTAAAGATTCTTTAGTGACACAAGGCCAGTGTGGCTCAGCAGTTGAGCATCGACCTATGATCCAGGAGATCGAGATTCGATTTCCAGTCAGGGCACATGCCGGGGGTTTTGGACTTGATCCCCAGCAGGGGGCGTGCAGGAGGCAGCCAATCAATGACTCTGTCTCATAAATGATGTTTTCTCTCTCCCCCTCTCCCTTCCTCTCTCTGAAATCAATAAAAATATTTTCTAAAAAAAAAGTTTCTTCAGTGACTTTATCTGTGGCGATTGTACAGATTTTTCACGAGAGGATTAAGAAACTAAGAACTTTAAAAAAAAAAACTAAAGCAAGCTAGAGAGAATCTCATTACCTTGTGCTGTTCTGGAACAGGCGTGGTGCATTTATAAGAGTAATCCAAGCCCATTTCCCCAAATGCCACAGCCTTGGGATGCCTTAAGGCTTGCAAAAGATTTCTTTCTTGACTCTCACTGTAGTAACGTGCAAAATGAGGGTGACAACCAAAGGCCCCCCAAACCAGATCCTCTTTCAACAAATCCTCCCATAGGCAATCTGTCAGTGTCCTGGGATCACAGAAGTCAGAGATGCAGCCCTGAAATTCCTTAGGGAAGGAGCTGCTATAAATTTTTCTGAACTTGCTAAAGGTCCCTTTGAAAGACAACTTGGAATAGAGCATATCCAAGTGACAATGGGTATCGATGAAACCCTCCTCTAGGTTTCGCTCCAGATGGCTTCTTGGCAGAGAGCTAGATGCACGTCCTTCACAAGAACGGGGTGGTGCCTCCTCCTGGAATGTTCTTTTCTCCTTCACCTGCTCTTCTATGCTTCTGGAGAAATGAAATGAGCGAGAATTCTGGGATCTGCCTTCCTCTGTTACCTCCAGATCTCTGGAGGTGTTTTGAGAGTTCAATGTAGAGTTGGGGGAATAATCACTCAGGAGGCCCCGGCTGCTCCTCCCAGCCTGCAACGTGTCACTGCTGCTGCTGCCCATGGAGGGGTAGCTAGAAGGCTTGCGACTGTTGGTCCAATAGCTGGCATAGTCACACCAAGGACTACTGTACAAGTGAGCCGGGTACATGACATAGTCAGTAGGAAAGGCAGAAGGCTCTGGAACTGCTGAGAGTTTCAGCGAAATGGGCTCCTCCTGAGAGAATCTGACTGTGGAGACCTCATCCACATCAGACCAGTCACTTCCTGAAGAGGTGTGTTCTATCACCACCTCCCTTTCTTTAGGCTGCAGAAAAGAGACAACAAAGGGTTAGCCTTCCTATGTGAACACAGCCTCCCATCCCATACTCTGTCATCTATAGAACATAAGCTCTGGCTTGATTTTTGGCCACAGTGAAGGCCTTGCATTGGCTCACCTGTCACCTAGCTTCCTTATAATTTCCAGATAGTGAGCCAGGTTACAGCTATGAACAGTCAAATCAGGCTCAGGGGATAAACTCATAATTTCATCCCTAAAGGGGATGCTATACCTGCACTCCCTCTCTGAATGATCCCTCGAGAAAAACTGCTCTGTATATTGGGAATTTTAGAGAAAAACAGTGACAGGCATCTCATCTCTAACATGTTTCTAATACATTCAAAATGCATATCCACACAGTTGTGGCAGGGTTTTTTTTTGTTGTTTTTTAAATTGAGAGAGAGGAATGGAGGGAGGGAAAGAGAGCAACAGGAGCGAGAGAGAAAAACACTGATGTGCTTCCCGTATGCAACCTGACCAGGGATCAAATCCAAAATCTGGATATGTGTCCTGACCAGGGATTGAACCTACCACCAAAAGGTCTACAGTACAACACTCCAACTAACTGAACCACATCAGCCAGGGTGTTTTTTTTGGTTCTTTTTAACAATTTTTTTAAATTGATTTGAAAGAGAGGGGGAGAGAGAGAAACACCAATTTGTTGTTCCACTTATTTCTGCGTTCATTGGTTGATTCTTGTATGTACCCTGACTAGAGATCAAACCTGCAACCTTGGCGTACTGGGACGATGTTCTAACCTACTGAGCTACCCAGTCAGGACTTTGGTTGTGACAGTTTTAAGATGTGTCTGAAAATTCTGACACTACTCCCCATTGAAAGATGGGGTTTGAGACCACTCCCCTTGAACCTGAGCCAACCTACTTACTGACTTGTTTTTTTTGTTTAATCCTCACCTGAGAATATTTTTTCCATTGCTTTTCAGAGACAGTGGAAAGGGGAGAGACAGACAAAACCACTGATGTGAGCGAAGACACATCGATTGGTTGCCTTCCACACGCGTCCTGACTGGGGCCAGGGATGGAGCCTGCAACTGAGGTACATGCCTTTGGCCAAAATCAAACCCGGACCCTTCAGTCCTCAGGCTGATGCTCTTACCACTGAGCCAAACCAGCTAGGGTGACTTATCTGTAACCAAGAGAATGCAGTAATGAAACTGCACAACTTCCAAGGGTAGATCAGAACAGCCTTGTAGCTTCCCCTGGTTCTCTCAGCTTGCTCTCCTGGGGGAAGCTACCACTGTGTAAGAAATCTTACTGCCCAATGCGGGGCCAGGCATGGCTCAACGGTTGAGCATTGACCTAGGATCCAGGAGATCTCAGTTCGATTCCTGGCCAGGGCACATGCCCGGGTTACAGGCTTGATTCTGTCGGGGGTATGCAGGAGGCAACTGATCAATGACGACTTTCTCACCATTGATATTTCTATCTCCCTCTTCCTTCCTCTCTCTGAACTCAATAAAGATATATTTTAAAAAATAATAATAAAGAAATAAATCTTACTACCCAAGATGACATGCTAGAGAGGTCACATGTAGGTGCCAGCATCAACTGCCCAATGTGTGAGTGCACATCTTGTATGTCAAGCTTTGCTAAGCTTTCAGATTGCAGCCTTCCCAATATCTGAATGAAACCACGTAAGAGACCCCCTCCAAAGCAAGATCTGCCCAGTCTGGACCTTTCTGAATTCCTTACTCAAAAGTGAGAGCAAAATAAAATGGTTATTTTACATCAGTAGGTGCCATATAACCAGAACTATACAATGCATTAAATCAAGTTAGCACTGTTAGAACCTAAGTTCCACAAAGTCAGGAATTTTTATTTTCTTCACTGAAGTCTTCCGAATAGCTAGAACAGTGTGCCTGGCATAGAGTGTTCATAAGTATTTATTGAATTAGTTTGTACAATAAATGGTGCAGTGGTTCCTGAACTTAGTTTCACATCAGAATCTCTAAGAGGCTTTTGAAACACACAGCTTTTTTTTTATTATTATTTTTAAAGAGGGGGGGGGAGAGAGAGAGAGAGAGAAACTCCGAGGTGAGAGAGATACATAGATCAGTTGCTTCCTGCACACCACGACTGAGGATTGAACCCGCAAACTAGGTATGTGCCCTGACCAGGAATAGAACCAACAACCTTTTCATGCAAGAAACCACACTCCAACCGAGCCACACTGGCCAGGGCTTTCTTGGGTTTTTTTAAAAACCCTCACCTGAGGATATGTTTTTATTGATTTTTAGAGAGGGAGAGAGAAACATCGATGTGAGAAAAACATCAATAGGTTGCCTCCTGTACACACCCTGAATGGAAATCAAACCTGCAACATTTTAGTGTATGGGACAACGCTCCAACTAACTGAGCCACTCAGTCAGGGCTCACTCTCTCCTCAGTAGCAATCAAAGTTTATCTGTGTTTAAGCCAGCCCAAATGGAAGTTAATTTTCCAGTCTCTCTTACAGCTAGGTGTTAGCCAGGTTTCTAGATTCCTATATGAGTAGATACCATGTGGACTTCTGAGCCAAGCTCTTAAAAGGGAGTGTTGCCCAGCCGATGTGGCTCAGCGGTTGAGCATCGACCTAAGATCCAGTAGATCAAGATTTGATTCCCAGTCAGGGCACATGCCCAGGTTCTAGGCTTGATCCTCAGTGGGGGGCATGCAGGAGGCAGCCGATCAATGACTCTCTCATCATTGATCATTGATGTTTCTATCTCTCCCTCTCCCTTCCTCTCTCTGCAATCAATAGACATATTTTTTAAAAAGGGAAAAAAAAGGAAGTGTAGCCCTGGCTGCTGTGGTTCAGTGGTTAGAGCATCATCCTGCAGACCATAGGGTCATGGGTTCAATGCTGGTCAAGGGCACATACCTGGGTTGCAGTTTGTTCCAGCCCGTCAGGGTGTGTGCAGGGGGCAGGCTGATCCATGTGTCATCAATGTTTCTCTCTCTCTCCCCCCCACTCTCTCTAAAAATAAAAATTAAATTAAAATATCAATGGAAACTGCATTCTTGGAAAGGCTATTGGCACTGAGGTTGGAGCTTGGACTCAAGGAGAGTCCCAGGAAACAAGGCATAGGCAGTGCTGGGAAACTCGGTCAACTAGACAGCAGGAGCCCACTGATCAGCCAATGTTTGTTTACTACTGATGGGTGTGAGCAAGTTAGACGTTCTATACCAGAGGCTTCTCCTTATAAAACTTTTTATCAGAAGATGGGGAAGGCCAGAGGATCTTAAAAGACTCTCTGAACTCAGAAAGATAACTGGAAATCAAGAAAGATGTCAGAATCTGGTTTCAAGTGATTATCCAGTATACATCAGTAAGACTGAAGAGCAGTCAGATTGTAAGACCTTAGATGGACACTTTGTTTCCCCTATGGCTCACTATGTGCCTGATATCATGCCAATTGAATCTGTTATTACAAGGTTCCAATTTATTGTGTCTAAAGAATGGAAGAGCAAATATAGACCCATATGCATTCATCTTGCTGGAACAGAAGATCATCATTACTGGAGATGATGAACACTGATGGCTCGTCCTATGATTAAAAAAGCCCGAATGGCTTCTTTGTTGTTAGAAAACCCTTATTGATGATGTCAGACTATGCCCAGAAGAAACGAAACTGATGCAGAGATATAAAGAAATGCTCAACATTGCTGAAGGTCTAGCTTAAAAAACATGTCTGACCTATTTGTGATGGGAGGAGCTCTTGTTTTAGAATCTGCAGCTCTCTTGCACTGGCTAGAGAAGAAGGGTTATGGACCTCTAGGAATGACCAGAATATCCATGGGAGGACACATGGCTTCCTTAGCAGTATCCAACTGACCTAAGCCCATGCCATTGATTCCATGTCTGTCTTGGTCCACAGCATCTGGGGTCTTCCCTACGGGTGTGCTGAATAAATTGATTAATTGGATGGAGGTGGAAAAGCTGTATTATACACAGACAGTTTATGAGGAAGAAATTATTCACATGCTTGAATATTGTGGGAGAGATCCTTTCAAAATGGGACAAGAGTTCATGAAATGCTTCCCTAGTAGTGCAGACAATCTGGTTTCTAGAACTGTAAATTTAGATATGACAGACTCAGTTGTGTCCTCAAAACCTTCTGGGTGCCATAAATCTAGTAAAACATCTTTAAGTGCCACATCAGAAGGACTCTTGTTGCAAGATACTTCTAAGATGGAGTGCTTCAATCAAACACTTTCAACCAACAAAAGTTATACAAGTTGTAATCCTCAGTCATACCGCCTACTCAGTAAAGAACAAAGAGGAAAGAATCTTCAGAAAGAAGATTCTGTTTACTGTTTATGAAAGGAGTCATGGATGAATGTACTCATGTAGCAAATTTCTCAGTGGTTCAAGTCAAAGAAGATGCCTATATTCCACGAACAGAAATTCAAAGTCTACCAGAAATTTGGCCTGGTTGTGAAATCTGCTATCTAGAACAGGGTCATATAAGTGTTTATCTTTTTAAACAAGGACTCTTCAGACAAGCCATCTATGATGCATTTGAGCGCTTTCTGCATAAATATGCTAATTAGATTACTGTATGTAACCAGTGTGGCTATCGTGTTTCTTACAAAAGGAGTTTCACCCTTTGATGACGTGAAAAACAAGCAGACAGCACTATAGAATTGCTATCAATTTAGTCTGGAATTCAGTCACAAATCAGTCAACTATAATCTTTAAATGCATTTGAATAACTTTAAACCAATATTTGGATGAAGTGATGTTGAAGCAGTTTGTTATTGTTCATGGGAATCCCATGTACTCAATATATAGTCTATTATTTCTACTTATGAAAACTTTAAATTTTTAATTATGATTAATTTATTAATTTAAAATAAATTTATTCATAAAAACCATATTGGTTTTTATAGAACTGCTATATCAAAGTTTTTAATACATCAGCTTGTATTATATACCTTTATCTGATATTTCTACTACTGACTTGCTTTCAGAAACATGTTTATTTCTTTTATAGATTTATAGTGAATTTATAATCTTATTTTCACCTTTAATTTTCTGCTGTGGAAACTTATGATGTGCAAAATCAGTTAACTTTGAATTCTAAAATTGTGTCTTAACATTTCCTTATGTATATATCTACTCTGTGTTTGCAAAACATCTAACTTCACTTTAGGCCAAGAACGTAACAGCTTTGACTTAATTTAAAAAATTAATGGCATAGTGAAATTGCTCTGTCCCAAATAAACTTTATTTTACAGAAAAGATAAAACTACCAACTTTTTTAAATTAGAAGGTAACATGGCTAGATTTGGTGCTTTCTTTTTATGATAAACTTCTCAAGCTGAGAGCTAAAATACTCTCAAAAAGTAGAAACTATTTTTGGGTGTCGTGTCAAGGCTTAGAATAAATGTATTTGCGTTTTACTTATTTGGGGGGTGGAAAATCAATGGAAAAATATCCTCAGGTGAGGACTAACAAAAAAGGAGGCGTACGTTATTCTTTCCTCCCCTTACTATTGGCTGGACTGGTCAGTGTAATCTGAGCCCTATCAGAGTAGCCATCTCAGACACAAGATGGAAACTGTGTTGAGGAGCAGCAGAGCATCAAGAGAGAAGGCACCAGGGTCCCTAACACTCTGGAGTCATCCTCCTCAAACCAAACTTCTACTTTTTTTAAGCCACTGTTATTTTGGCCTTTATACGGCAGGCAAATCCATATCTTAACATATAAACCCTAAAACAAGAAAGCACTGAATTGAGGTTTCTTAATAACTCTGAAAGGTATGTTAGGAGAGAACCATCAATTTGTTGCCTGGAATCCTAAGTAAAGCACTGCTTTAATGAGTAACACTTAGGATCAAACTAGAAAGTCCAAACACTACATTTAATAAAGAGAACTAAAAACTCCATGCTTGGCATGAGCAAGACTCACCTTTTGGCTTTCTAAATTAGAGTCAGAGTCATCCAAAAACTCTAGGGATGGAGAGTGCTTGTCAATAACTGTCCTTCGATCACCAAGTGGCTCTTCGCTGGGTTCCTCCTGAGGGTCTATCACCACTCTCCGCTCACAGAAGCCGCTCCTCTCCAGCACGGCCTTTTTTTCCTCTTTCACTCTGACCTCTGGGGCTGACTCCTTCTCTTTCTGAGGAGCAGACACAGTGACACTCCTGGCTGGTCCTTCTCCACGGCTGGGATGCTCTCCTGTGTTTGGTTTTGCCCTAGTTGCAGTCTCTCCCTTCCTTTTTGGCATTGACTTTCCCAGAATGCCCTGGATAGCCTTCAGGTAGATCATTGTGGAGCCCTGGTCTTGAAGTCTATCCCTCTTCTTTTTCTGAACCTTGTTTGGTTCCTCAATTGTGTCATTCTGACCCTCAGCTTCAGCTGCAAACTCAGAGTTCGCGGAATTACAAGAACTATCTTTGGAATTAACCTAGAAAAAAAACAGAACATGAAAAGGTTATTTCATACATGAAGCACTTGACAAATTAAACACCAGTGGGGCTCCACCAATCAAAGGGACAGTGATAGCAGCTAAGACAAAGATTCTCCCCAAGTGATGGTTTCCATCCCATCCACTGTAAAAGGAACTAAACTGCTCTTCTTTCTTTCTTTCTTTCTTTCTTTCTTTCTTTCTTTCTTTCTTTCTTTCTTTCTTTCTTTCTTTCTTTCTTTCTTTCTTTTTCTTTCTTTCTTTCTTCTCTCTCTCTCTTTCTTTCTTTCTTTCTTTTTTCTTTCTCTCTCTCTCTCTCTCTCTCTCTCTCTCTTTCTTTCTCTCTCTCTCTCTCTTTCTTTCTAATCCTCACCCAAGGACATGCTTTTGATTTGAGAGAGAGAGGAAGGGAGAGAGAAACATCGATGTGAGAGTGAAATATCCATCAATGCCTCCTGCCACACACCCTGACCGAGAATCGAACCCACCACCTTTTGGTGCACAGGCCAACGCTCCAACCAACTGAACCACACCGGCCAGGACATGCTGCTATTGCTTAATACTTTCTCACACTTATCAGATAATATCCTCATACTGCAGTGGAAAGGAATGAGATGAAAGATCAACAGTCTACTAACACTAGACTGCAAGCTCCTTGAGGGGGAAGACTACCACATACTTCAGAACACACCCAGGCAAAACAGAAGCTTAACGTTTTAGTACTGGAAGAGTCCCCAGAAACCAGTTAACCCAATCCCACAGCTAAGAGTCAAGGAAACCCAGGGGCCCTGTGAGGAGTGAATGCCAATCTTCTGACTCCTGAGGGCAGTGTGCTCCCACTGTACCCCCAGCCTTCTTGAAGTTCTCTGCAAACTCATTGCCCCAAATCAAAATTTTGGCTATTAACTTTAGGGAGATGGACAGGAAAGGTGGCTTTTACTTTCATTTTGAATCTCTGAATTTTCTAACAGATTAGACTTTTTAAAATGTCTACAAGGATCATTTGGGAAAGGAGGTTATGGGCCATTTTTATTTTCTTTATATCCTTCCATATTTAAGAAAATCAAATAATATTAAAAATAAATTTGACCCTAGTACACTGCTGGTGGGAATGCAGACTGGTACAGCCACTATGGAAAACAGTATAGAGTTTCTTCAGAAAATTAAAAATTGAACTGCCATTTGACTCAGTGATCCCACTTCTAGGAATATATCCTAAGAAACTCGAAACACCAGTCAGAAAGAACTTACACCTATGTTCATAACAGTGCAATTTACAATAGCTAAGATGTGGAAACAGCCCAAGTGCCCATCAGTAGATGAGTAGATAAAAAAGCTGTGGGACAATTATACCATGGAATACTAAGCAGCTGTAAAAAAGGATCTCTTACCCTTTGGGACAGCATGGATGGAACTGGAGAGTATTATGCTAAGTAAAATTAGCCAGTCAAAGAAAGACAAGTACCACGTGATCTCACTCATATGTGGAATATAATGAATAAAATAAACTGATGAACAAAACAGATCCAGAGACACAGAAGCATGGAACAGACTGAGGGATCTCAGAGGGAAGACGGGGTGGGGGAGTGGGTGGGGAGAGATTAATCAAAGAACTGATATGCTTATATGCATAACCTATGGACACAGACATTGGTATAGACACAGACACAGGCCTGGGGGTGGGGTGGATGTGGGGTGGAGGGGATCGACAGGGGAAAAGGGGCACATCTGTAATACTTTCAACAATAAAGATAAATTTAAAAATAATTTTGAAGGCTCTCAGGACACAGCCACACTTCCCAGCCCCCCTTCTTGACTGCTACCAATCACTTGCCCATTCTCAGCCCATCACACCCTCTTATACACTGTCACTGGCACATCTCATTTCCTCTGCTTGGGATACCCTTGCCTCGGTCCCATTTTAACATTTAAGGCCCCTCACCCCTTGTTTGACTTCCCCACCTCTGCCTATGGGACCAATTGCTCTTCTCTTGTTCCCCTAGGGAGGTGTGGTCTAAAGCAAACTGAGGAGCCCCTGCACCTTCTGAATGGCCACAGTTCCTCACCTCAAGCCACCTGTAGCCACTTGGGAGTGCAAACCCAGAGCTATAGATTCTAGTTTTTCAAGTAAGACAGGAATCTCAAATTTAATGAATTTTTCATCCAGTTAGCAAGTATCTGTTGAGCACTTAACTATGTGCCAGTAGGCACTGTTCTATATCTGGAATTTAGCTTTCAATAAAACATACAAAAAATGCCTGCTTCCTGGAGTTTATATTTTAGTTGGTGAGGGAAGGAAAAACCAGAAGCAAAAGAGTATATATGTTAAAGAGTAAAAAGTGCCAGGTAGAAAAATAAAATAGGAAACTGGCTAGAAAGTGGGGAAAGGGAGAAGGTCACTCAAGTCTTGAGTTCAAGGCAGAGGTTTGAACTAGACGTGTGCGTGTGTGTGTGATTGACTTTCAGAGACAGAGGAAGGGAGAGGGAGAGACAGTCCACAACCTGGGTGCGTTCCCTGACTGGGAACTGAACCAGCAGCCTTTTGGTGCATGGGACCACATCCAACCAACCCTAAGCCACACCAGCCAGGGCTAGAGGCATATATTTTTAATGTGAACTTTCCAAAATTTTAAATACTGTGAGGACCTAGCTGACCACATTCAGCCTATGGACCGCATTTGCAAACCCTGGTACAGAAGACCAGGACTGTACTTGTGGGAGTAAAAAAAAAGTAAGGAATAACATACCTTATATTTTCATAAGAACTTACAATTTACAGAGGTGCCACAGCCGTTACCCCTCTTTACAGAGAGGGACACTGTCACATGGATTTTAAGAGGCAGAAGGAGGATTCAAGTTCCCCCCTAACATCCTGGAAACCAAGGGAGACACAGCATCAAAGGCTGAGATGTAAAAGACCATGAGGACCTAAGGTCACTGAAGAAGAGTTTCAACAGTGGATAGGAGGCTATAAAGGTCAAGATTGGGCAGAAAGTACAAGAGCAGAGACAAACCACCTGTCTTTGAAAAGGAGAGATTTAGCCCTGACAGAGTGGCTCAGTTGGTTGGAATGTCATCCCGTACACCAGAAGGTTTTGGTGTATATGTCCCACAGCTTTTTTATCCACTCATCTACTGATGGGCACTTGGGCTGTTTCCAGATCTTAGCTATTGTAAACTGCACTGCTATGAACATGGGAGTGCATATATTCTTTCTGATTAGTGTTTCAGGATTCACTAATAGTGTTTTAGGATATATTCCTAGAAGTGGGATCACTGGGTCAAAAGGCAGATCCATTTTTAATTTTTTGAGGAACCTCCATACTGTTTTCCATAGTGGCTGCACCAGTCTGCATTCCCCCCAGCAGTGTACTAGGGTTCCCCTTTCTCCACATCCTCGGCCAGCACAAGTCGTTTGTTGATTTGTTGACAGTGCCATTCTTACAGGTGTGAAGTGATACCTCATTGTGGTTTTAATGTGCCTCTCTCTGATGATTAGTGACACTGAGCATTTTCTCATATGTCTCTTGGCAATTTGTATGACCTCTTTGGAAAAGTGTCTATACTATGCAGCTGTAAAGAAGGTTCTTGTACCCTCTGGGACAGTATGGATGGACCTGGAGAAAATTATGCTAAGTGAAATAAGCCAGGCAGAGAAACACAAACATCACATGATCTCACTTATATG